AGTGACATGAGACTTTTCGAGACTGGTTCAATCATTTGATAGGCTATCATATCGGCACGGTTCCACTCCCGATTAGCAAACCATCGCTGGAAAGATTTTGGAAATTGAAGTAGGGCAGGGCATCAGCAGAATTCTGAACAGGTTGAGTGCAAGTGGCTGTCGCGCTGATGAGGCTGTAGAGTAAGTAGCTCTCATTAATTTACTTCTCTTCTCATAGGATGTTAGGTGTCAACAACATTTCAGTTAGAATCTGAGTTCATAGTTATACTCAGAGGATATCCTCGTTGTAATTTGAGCAAACGTCCATTGCAGTATGCGTGTACCGGCACAATGATTTGCTGATAATTAGTGTGAATGAGGTGAGATTTGCAGGAGATATATGAGATTTTTAGGGACTGATTGAATCGTTTGTTAAGCTTCTGACACGATCTCACTCCCCCGGCAACAACCGCTCACTGAAAACCATTGTGAAGTTCAAGTAGGCGAGGGAATCACCTGGATTTTGAGCGGGTTGAGTGCATGTGGCTGTGTTTGTGATGATGCAGTGCGGTACATTGATTGGATGGAGTAATGTGTAATTTCATTTGTGATATTTGCAGAAGGAATTTGAAAAAGACTTTCGGAGAAGTTTTTGTGTGAAAGCGAAATGGATGCATCGTCTCTCCTCAAATGGCTGTCGTCTTTCCTTGGATGGCTATGGTCTATGCTTATATGGCCAATTTGGTGAGTTTTTTTGCTTAATTTCTCCTATCAACGTACACTTTTGCATTTTTTGTTCCGCTCTTTATCGGGTCTGAGCACAAAATTGTATCGAATGAGCACAGAGTATAATAAGCTCGATAATTGATTTCTAGCTGATTGTTTGATTATTGCAAACGTTCACGTCGCTAATTCGATGCAATTGTAAAAATGACGCATTCTTATGAATAAAACAAACACGAGTATAATTCAAATTCAATGCATATCAATAACTCAAACTAAATAAACAGGACTGGAGACAACAAAATGGCCAAGCATCTGCAAATTCCTAAAGGTCAGCTCGAGTTCGGTGAGTGTGTGGGTGAGGGTGGCTTTGGGCAAGTTTTCCGCGGAAAGTGGAAAACAAAAGAAGGAGAAAAAACAGTGGCGATGAAACGAGTCACCAAATTCGAAAAAGAGGTTCGTTCGTTCATTTTTCAATCAAGCATTATCGTTTCTTGAAATGAATCCCACTTTGTTTGCATCACTCTCAGCCTATATTTATTCTAGTTGTTCAGTGTTTCATAACATGGTGATGAGTCATTATAATGATGAATATTAAGTTAATTTCAGGTGAAAATATTATCCGAATTTGACCACCCGAATGTAATCCAGTTCTACGGCGTTTCAGAAGACCATCTTGGATACATTATTGTGACAGGTTAGCTATGAATTCGGAATTTTCAACTGCTCACCTTTTTGATTTTTAGTTTAGGCGCATAGGAAACGCATATGCAATGGATTCGGTGCAAAAAATTATGATCAAAAGTGATCATTTTGCATTCTTTGAAATCGGTTGATTGGTGCAAAAATAGATTTGTTTTTTTCAAAGTGAGTTTTAATGAAGTGGGTGGTTTTGGATAGTTTTAAGGTTTGATTTGAGTGGGAAATTCATTGTTGATACTTCAAAAGTTGAAATCATCAATTGCTTTCTCACCAGTGATTGTTAGACTGAGTGATATTGGTTACCCATAAGATTTGTTTACGCATTCGATGATTTATTTCATTATGTTTTCTGTTTCCTATGGCCGAAAGCCCGTTATCAAAGCATTATTCTGATGAGGTAATTTGTCAGTGTTTAACCACAGAGTCATCAATATCGTTGAATTTCCACCGAACACTTGAAATATATCATTAAAATTAACTTGCAGAATACGCCGAAGGTGGTTCCTTATACGATCACCTTCACAATGGGGACAATACAAGCATCGATTTCAAGCAAATTATCACTTGGGCCCTGGAGGTTATTTTATATTGTGTCATTGAAATGCGCTTTTAGTCTGGAATTCATAACATCCTTTTTTATTTTTGGATTATTCATTCAGTTATGTATTCATTCTCTGTGAATCTCGCTGATCACGGAACTTGGAGCATGCGATGGAACAAGCATGGAAAAGTTAATAGATTTGTTAAGTGGAAAAATTACTTGTATGCGCAGTTGGGGTGTCAGTAAGGATTGCTTTTGAATGGCATTGTATGAGCATGCCATGTAGAACTGGTCTAGAAAATACTATAATAATCAAAGGAAGAAGCATTCTATTTGCTGTTCATTGAATGTGCTTTGAGGATTAATCAACTCTGTTTTTTTGTTTTGTTTTCAGATAGCGCGTGGAGTGGAGTATTTGCATTATGATGCTCCCGTAAAAACAATTCATCGTGATTTAAAATCAAAAAATGTTGTGCTGACTAGTGAACGCGTCTGCAAATTATGCGATTTCGGAGCATCAAAGAATTCGGTTCACTCGGTCACATCAACATCGTTAAATGGTACAATTCCGTGGATGAGGTGAGTCTTATCGCTCGATTGGCCGTACGTACACTCTGCTTGTTTATGTTCACATCAAGTTGATTGCTCGATTCAAAGTTGAATTTTATTATCTCATCAAATCTTTTCATTCTCATTTTCATTAGTCAATTTTCAGCCCGGAACAGATCAAAAGGGATAGAATATCCACAGCAACAGACGTGTGGAGCTATGGAGTGATCTTATGGGAAATGATCACGCGAAAAGTAATCACAATTAGAAATTGAACCTTTTTTCAAGTCATCCTTTTTGCATTCCATGATGAAGTATGTCTGTTGCAGATGCCCTATAAAGGTTTACCTGAGTTAACAGTATTCGGTTCGATTGCAAACAATGGTTCAACTCTGGTGATACCAGAAGATTGCCCGGCCGCTTTCAAACGGTACGATTTTACTGATGATGTTTTTGATTTTGATTTCATCAGTTAATGTGACTTGGAATATCGTTGTGAAACAGTTGCGAAATTAGTTGAGATGTTAGCGATTGGATTGCTATCGATGTGATTTGCCTCGGAGAAATGAGGAGTTTATCAAATTTCAGTTTGATGCAGAACTGCTGGATAATGGAGCCAGAAAATCGCTACAATATGCGTCAAGTAATCTCGGCGCTCAATGATATGCAAATGGAGATGCAACCCGAGGTGAATAATCAGTGTTCAGTGTTTTACCGTTTTAAATTCATGCACATTGTTAAAAATAGTTGCGATTATTAGTTTCCCAATATGTTTCGCATGATGCACATCATCACGACAACGAGGAGGAGGGTTACAGTCAAGAGTAGTGTTGACACGAGATCTGCCTGCGTAGTAGCGAATAGCGGTGTTAGAAAAGTGATACCGATCTCGGCATTCGCGCCGTGTCCCTAGTCACGACGACGATATTTCCGGTATTACTCATATCACAAGAAGTCATTTTAAGTGAATTTGGTAGCGTATCGATCACGAATGGCGCGCGAATCATACACATTTTTGTTTTTTGTGTTGTATTTTTGCTGAATTTGTTGAGTTTCAGTGATTGGCTTGTTAAATGAATCGTTTTCTGAGTGACTGTGAAGAGACTGACTCAAAAAGAATTTACTGTTGTTGAACAAACCACATTTCTATCCTTCAAAAGTTGCTTCTCACAACCGCTATCGTATCGTCGCCATTGAAAAGCGACGATACGGGACGGTATTAATACCGATCTCGGTTTTGACCAAAATGGCAACGGTCGACATTTTGCAAAAACACTAATTTGTTCTTAATTGTTTATTCTTAATTAAATAAAACTGCGCGGCGTGTTCAGTGTTTGTTCATTCACGAAAATTTTCAATGTATGACATAATGTTGCTGGAAACAATTAATTAATTAAGTGTTTTTCGGTATGTTTATTAATTAGGTGGTAGGTTGATAATGAAATTCAATTAGTTTAGTTAAAAATAGTGTCCGTTTCGTGATTGGTTCGAGAATGGGCCTGCAAAACGCTTTTGATAGTGACTTAGCGTTGTGCTTACTGTTCACAATCAACGAGTGTATTCAAATATGGAATACTGAATTGAGGATGAGATGCAACTTTTGACGAGGCTTAGGCTTATTGTATACGTCTTAATGTACGTCTCCTGAATCTTTCAGACAATGTTGCGCAACGAGCTGCAGAAAATGCGTGATGAGCTGCAGAAAACGATGCGTGATGAGCTGCGAAAGACCCGCGAAGAAATGAAGCAGGTAGCGATTATCTCGTTGCTCATAGTTAACGATAATATTGCGAACATCATTGTCAATGAATATTACCTAATAACTGTGTAAATTAAGCATTAACTGATCAACTTTCAGATGATAATAAATGAATCGACGAAAACGCACACAGAGCTGCAGAAAATGCGTGATGAATTGCAAGAGATTCGCCACCAAATGAATAATCAGGTAGTACCGATTAAACAAAAACCACTTTACCGAACAATTGCAACAGTTGTTTCGTTGGCTATCATTAATAATCACATTTATAATATTACTATTATAACGGCATTATTAATGAATGTTTCGCTTTTACACTGATTTTCGGTATCCACTGATTTTTTTTTATAGAATTTATTCGGAGCGATTGCTCTGATGAGAACACTCGGTGAATGCGTGAGTGATGAAGACCTGACTAGAGCGTTGCGTTTAACTGGTAACGATCCATCGATGGTACTAGTTTATGATGCGATAAAGTGCAGAAAGAGGTATTAATTGGAGTGTTTATTAATGTCGTTTGATTAAGAGAAATGAGGATAATGGAATAAATCGCATCGAATAAACGATAAC